TGTAATTTGAATGGCATAACTGGTTTTGCAAAATTTATGTGTAGCAGTCAGTTCAAATGGTATACAGGTGACCAATTAGTTGCAAGTCCTTGAAGAAGCAACCAGCACTGTGAAGCCAACTGAACCCTTCAACAAGACTCAGAGGGAGGGACACACTTTCTGGACAGAGTGTACGGTTTCCAGAGCAGCTTCGTACCTGTCTTACAGGATAAGATGGGGGTGACCCACTTCTTCTTGTTAAAAAAACTAATCTGTCCCGATTATGATACTTCCTTTTATCTTTTTTCCTTCCTTTACGTTCCTAGTGGAACATAGGGATTGAAGCTGGAGACTTGGAGTTTCGGTAGCAGTAGCGTTTATTTTTACGGCATGGGTTTGGTTGTCTCATGTCCAACCTTCCTTCTTCATCAGTCTTATTACTGGCTTAGCGAGGTAAAGGAGTGCGTCAGTGGCCAGGGATAGAACTCCAGACAACCGGCGAGCATTCTAGTGCTGTGCCACTGACGCTTATGGTACTTATCTTTTATGCACATACATTATTTTTCACTTCATCCTGCAGCATGAATGAAATGCTTTTTATGGCTGTTTACAGGACACATCAACTGCTTCAAAAATCTTTTTCTACCATGTTCCACTTTTGCATTTACTTTTTTTCGCATGGTTTATTTATGTTATGGTTCAACAATTATTTTAGGTATATTTCTTTCGACAAGGTTCTCAGTATTCTTATTTACTTTCCCAGATGCAACGGGCACTGGACAATAAGCAAATGAAGCGCGAGATTAAGCGGAAGAACATCAACGAAGCGACGTGCATATACCACATCACCATAGATAGATGACCAGTAGGCAACTCATGGCTATAATACAAATCTGAAGAGTTTTACTACTAATGCAACCATCAGCTTTTTACTTCCGGCTGGTTTCTTTTTTCGCGTCGTCACAACTCCACTGGGAGGTTGGCGAGATGTAGTGGTAAACAATTCCTCAAAATTATTAACCTACAGCATTCTTCACTCAAAACTTGGTACTAATCACCACTGTTTAATACGACTCGTTCAGATGAAGGTTCGCAGTCAAGCACCCATACCATTTGGCATGATGCCGTGTTAAGTTCGTTCCTTAGTTCATGATCCCTCCCCAGTGAAGCAATCAACACTGCAGTAGGATTTTTATCCCAGAACATACTTCGAGTTTTGGGTGATCAGTCTGGTGTTTCGATTTGTCCTTATTCTGTCTCTTTTTTTCTGGCAGCAACGTATCTGCTGAAATTTAAGAAAATCTCATCAGTAAACTTTAGTTCTTAACAATGTATCAACTAGATTACTCTATTCTCGAAACGATAAGACACTGTCACAGTAACAAAACTTGTGACGCATTATAAACATCTTTAGAAGCAAAAAGAGATATTTGCGAATTATAAAGGATATATGCTACAATAATGATTCTTTGAGCTAGTATATGTGTAAAACTTGGGCACTGTGGTAGTAAGTAATTCCATATTAGTTTGTTTATTAGATGTATCACACTGTAAGTGAAACAGTACTATTTACTGGATCACGTTTCGAACAAAATTTAATGTTGTTCATAATCATATCAATTATAATCACACAACTTCGAAAATTGAGTTTTATAGTTTTCTTTGTTCTCTCCTATTTGTCGTCATTAGGGTAGTAGATTTTTCCAGATATCTGGGACAGCTGTTGAATCATTCCCATTACACTTATTCTCTCTCAGCTGTTTCGATAAACGAAGCTTCTGTTATCAATCTCTCCCACCACCCTGTGATATTAGATTTTAAAGCTGTCATCCTATCCCATCCATCCTATTGTATGGTTGTGTGCAGTTGCATGCAGTGAGTGGTATAGCTGAACTATTCTGTAGATTTCTTATCTTATTCGGGTGAACTAATCTAGATTTTCCTGCTGGGCTTTTATGCTCGGCGAGTCTGACTGCCCCTGTTCTACAACTTTCACCCATGTACTTAACGTGACAGTCATTCCAGCAGATTATTAGATAAACTAAATTGTTTTGTTTTAAAGGCTCCACAGGATTGATCCTGTAACCGACAAAGCTTGTTTCTAATTGAGATCGCGGGTTTGAATGCCAGCCACTTTTATTCCTGCCTTGTTGAGAATTCTGCGTGCGGTTTTTTATTTTTTTTTCGTTACAGCTTGATGCTACACAGTATTTTCAGTACAAGTATGGAATTTTCAGCATGGATATCGGTAGCCCAAATTTTGCAGGCCGACCATAGATATCGGGTGTGCATGGCAGGGGATCGAACCCCGGACCATGTGCATGGTCGGCGAGAGTCCTAACCACTGTGCCACCGACGCGTGCGGTTTCCGAGGTTCCTTCTTTGTATGGAATTACTGCTGATGATTTAGATTCCTTATTGTCGTCATTAAATTATTATTATCATCACTATTATTATCATTATTATTATTATTATCACTATCACTACTGTCATTATTTATTTTATTTTTATTTTTACATTTCCCTACATACTTTCTGATTAATTTATCAGGATAATTAATAATTAAGTTCCAAAGCTTCTCTTATATGCCTCACTTTCTGTCTTAGATTTTCCGTGGTACTACTTAGTTTTTGTGCTCTGTCACTTAAACATTTCACCAATCCTATTTTTACTGACACAGGATTGGATGATCGGAAGTCCAAACATCGGTTTGAATGTGTGGGTTTCCTGTAAATACTAGTGTTTAACTTCCCATCTTCTTTCCTTTTTACGCTGCAATCTAACATTGGAAGCTCCCCTTCCTGACTTTCCAATTCATAAGTGAATTGAATTGCCTCCACCTTTGAGTTAATGTGTTCGAAAAATCTATCTATATCCTGTGTTCTAAGCTCAGTGAATGTGTCATCTACATACCTCCACCATACTTTTGGGGTGAAGCTGAACATTTCAATCGCTATGTTTTCCCACCTATCCATGAATATATGTGCCACAACCGAGGATATTGGTAACCCCATGGCAACTCCCTCAGTTTGTTTGTATATTTTCCCCTGGAATTTAAATACTATGGAAGTCAAGCATAGTCGCATTTCCAGCATTATGTCCTCAAGTGGCAATTTCGTCCTAAGTTCGAGTTCTTGGTCAGAAATGAGTTCATTTCTGACTGCCTCTATGGCCATATTTATAGGTATACGTGTATGTAAACTGAAAATGTCAAGTTAGAATACAAGAACCATTGAATCGGGGTTCAGTGGCTCAATGGCCTACGTGCTCGCTTTGTAACCAGAAGGTAGTGGGTTGGAACCCCAGTGGAACCGTACTGTTGAAGAGTCCCAAACCAGGGCGAAACAGCTGCCTAGTACTCTCAGGTTTTCCAGTGGTTCTCTAACTGATATCAGCTCATGATGAAATCCTCAATGCCATGTCAAAACTAACCATTTTTTCTTCATTATCTAATTTTAAACTATCTAATCTATATTTTAGTTCATAAGAATTTTTTCGAAACATTGTCATCCAGTAAATAATACTGTTTCTTCACTGTGTGATACATCTATTAAACAAAGCTAATATGGAATTCTTTGAGCTAAGTTTGCATTATTCATTTATAGAGAACGTCACTGAAAATTCTAAAAGATGTTAGCAAGCTAAACTGTGTACTATGAAGCCAGTTTTTGACATAAAACCCTCCATATTTTGGCCACGGATGCAGAGGGCTAGTTTCGCATATGCCAGTTTACGCCGTCTCTGGCGTAGACGTGATATCCGACTATTGACCAAAGGGCGTGTGTACTGCTCAGCAGTCCGCTCCGTCCTCCTTTATGGCTGTGAGACCTGGCCATTGAGAGTGGAAGACATGAAAAGATTAGCTGTCTTTGATCATAGGTGTCTGCGTTCTATCTCCCGTGTGAAGTGGCATAATAAGGTGAGCAATATTGAGATTAGACATCGGTCGAGTGCTAGGTAAGGAGGGGAAATCAGTCGACGAGACTGTGAAATTACATCGACTGAGATGGTTAGGACATGTGTTACGTATGCCTAGTCATCGCCTTCCTCGACAATGGGCAATGTTAGCTGACATAGGGTCAGGCTGAAAAACAGCTAGCGGCGGTGAAATGAAAACATGGCACCAGTCAATGAAATCCACAACAGTTAGTTTAAGTCAGCCACGTAGGAAGATGTAGACTTCCTGGTTGGGGTCCTCGGGACGGTAAAAACCAATGGTTGGAAACAATTGGTGATATGGCTAAAAATCGTTCTCAGTGGCGCAGATGCATCCACTCCTTGTGACTTATGATTTCCAATTTAACTGTTTTGTTCTTTGTTATTACTATTCCTTTGTCTCACACCTCTGTTTACTGTGTCTATTATGCATTTCTCCTACTTTCTTCTCTTGCTTTGCGTGCTACAAGAAGGGAGTGTGGCGACTTGAACTGCCGCACAGACAGACAGACCATATTTTGGCTCAGTTTCACTGAAATTTTACTTCCAAGGTTTCTGTGTTCTGTTGTGTTTCAAATCATCAATGTCTTGGGATTAGACACTTCTAAAACTCGAAGTCTGAAGTTTGTCAAGGGAATGAAAGCATTCAAGAGGATTTTATTAAATATATGTATATAATTCAAATAATTCAGAAAACAGTTCAGTTTCATAACCTACTATTTTCAATACAAAATAGCCTATAAGCGAATGAATACAACTTGTGATGTGTATAAGAGTAAAAACCACTGCAATACGATAGATGCTTTTCAGTTATCAAAGACATTGAATGTTTCATTTCACTTCTTCTCTTCATTTCTCATATTCCTCTTTATTGTAACATGAAAATGAGACTGGTTGAAGAATTAAAAAGGTAGATATTGTTAAATTTACTTTCTGGCACGTAGAAGAAAGTCTCCTTTTTTCCTGCAGTCTCAAATCTGTCTGTCGTGATCATACAGATGAAATAGAATTAAAATAAATGAAGAGACTTTGAAAAATGTAACTTTTAACTTAGTAGAGAGATATTATGCAAAAGATAGAATACGCTAGTCGTTTGAGAATAGTAGTAGTGTATTATTGAGTTTGCAAGGTTTTCTAGTTCAGTAAATCTTTAGTAACTTTTCTAATGTTTCTGTTAATGATTTAAATTTTTTTGCCATCAAGTTGCCTGTCTATATCATTTCAACTGCTGTAAACTACTTAACTGGTGGAACTGAGGAAATACCCTCTGAAATATGATTTTTAATATTCACATCATCTCCGGTGACATTCATGAGTTGTGTATTTTGTAAATCATCGATTTGTGCACCTTCAGCATTGTGTATATTCGATCCTGAGGTCATTATTATGTCTAGTAAGTCTGTGGTACAACATCCATTCAGCTTTTGATAACGATCAGACGCATATGATTCATGGTTAACGATATTTTTGTTTCCCTGATTTAAGCTGCACTCCACAATTGAATTTGTTATATTCTCAGCAATTATTGGATTATTACACATTGTATCCAAGCGTGTTTCTAAGTCAAGTATAGCACTATGCAGTTTGGCGACAACTTGCAGACCTGGAGCTGATGGACTCGTGAGCATATCAGCGGCCATTGGACTTCTTGCATCAAAATTGCCTCTTCCATTATCATTTTTATTCTCTGATCCAGCGAGGTCAACTCCATTGATGACATCTTCCATGTCTGTATCAAGTGCAGCGCCGACCATTTCAGTCACATGATAAATTTGTTCTAAGAGTTGTTGATGACTACAGAGTAGAAATGAAAATATTACCGACTTGTTAGCTGGCTGTCAACATTAAAAAATATATATAATGAATTTCAAGATAATTTCAAAATAATATACAACATTCGACCAAACCTATCAAAGAGAGTAAAATCAAGACATCTGGGCATAACCAAGGCACTAGCTTTCCAAAAGCTGAAACTCACGCTATGTATCCAAAAGAAATACGTCCAAACCTTGTCCCTGCTATGGCCATCATAAACAGGCAATTCTTCTAATTGTGAGTATCTCATTGCCTTTCTTATCCAAACTTCCTGTTTATTCATGTTATTTTTAAGTTTTTCTTAATCCCTATTTACACTACCATATTGTCATATCCCAGCCTCCTGTCTATTTTGTCATTTTATTATTTCTACATATTTAATCCCTAATTGCATAAACAATAATTATTCGTCACATTAGTTATGATCGCACTAGATTTTTTTATCCAAACATCCTGTCTATTTTTGTTATTTCTACATTTCTAACCCCCAACTGCACAATGTCAATCTTCTTAGTTATTATAATGCTACTTTGTTTGAGTTTTATCCGTCCCCCCTGTTTATTATGGCATTTTAATTTCTAATTGTAATTTTATTAATTTGACCCTTGACTGGAAATTATTCTGAAACTTTCCTACCAATTAATCATCATACACGAATGTACAGCCTAGTTGATGACTTCGTCGAAAAGAAAATTTTCTTCTCTGCAACCGTCTTTTTTATAATTACTATGATCCAATGTGTATATTCCGTAATTTCAGGATTCCAAGAATATTCATGTAATTAGTGCTGTTGATGCGGTTGTGTTCTCTGAGCTGGATAGTTAATTTGCGAAGCTTTCATCATCCTACTAGGCAACATCTTCAGCGCATACTTCAATTTGAAGTGAGCTTCACGAGTTTATTAATCATCTCTCCTAGTGACCTTGGACGTGATTGTTTGTTTTTCTGTATTTTCACACGTTCTAGGCTACTTGTATTGGAAGTGATTGTTTCTTTGACTTGAACTTCGACCCTTTGTGTGTGAGATTTGCTTCTTATCGGTTGGTAAATTTTGTCTATCTCCATAAATCTATTGATTGATGATTCACTGGAATGCCAGACAGGCTTCAGAAAATCCTCTTTCTAATATTTGAACGCTGATTGTCCCAGTCGAATTGATGTCCATGGTTGTCTTAATGTAGTGAGGCGATATGAATTAGTGAATGTCATGTCTTTTGACGGCTGGCTTATGTTCATGGATACAAAGATGAAGGGATGTCCACTTTGGCCAATGTAGTGTATTTCGCAGTTGATTCAATTTATTTTGTAGGTGATGTTGGTTTTATTTTCTTTCGCTGTTGAGTCTTTCGGTTGACATAGAGCCAGCCAAGGGAAATGATTTTGTTGGTTTGTGTGCGACGTCAATTCCTATAGGTTTGACGAGTCTTGCAGTGATTTCTGACATATCCTTTATCTTTGGCAGGGCAACTTTCTTTGAGCTTTCCTTGGGGGCTTTTGGTTTGATAGGTTGGCTTGAGGGTATTTTTCTTTTGATGAAATTCCGTGGATATCCACGAAAACAAAACTAAATGTCAAAGAAATCAAATCAATCAATCGACCTTGGCGGCCTGTCTGAATTTTTGGGCCTGCTATCATAAAATCTACATATTGCAAATTATTATTATTATTACTAAATTATGCGATGGAAACCATTTTTTTATAATCTTTGCTTTCGGAGTAGAAAATAGAGCTCCAGATTTTGGAGTTTTATTTGGTGGAGTTTCGTTATTACGGGATGAGGTTGCTGGCTTCACTTCCAAGCTTCCCTTTGTTCCAGATGTACTACCAGCTGGGCTAGATTTCGAAGTACGTTAGCTTGGGATCGAACCCGGAATAGGTGCATAGTAGGCAGATGTTCTACCGTTAAACCACCGACGGATGATGAGAATTTTTAAGTGGCAGAGATAAAGTAACTAAGGAAAGCTGGTAAAATGAACTTATGATATGGTTGTGTTCTCTGAGCTGGATAGTTAATTTGCGAAGCTTTCATCGCTGAAGATATCACCTAGTAGGGCGATGAAAGCTTCGCAAATTAACTATCCAGCTCAGAGAACACAACCATATCAAAATCATCCACCTGAGCTACAAATCTTCTCCATCATATCTAAAATGAACTTATTTTCTGGTGACAGCTGTCTGCAGGCCAAAATTGTAGACAACAATTTACGTCAATGTTTGCATCGTGAATCGGTGTCATGAGAAAAAAACAATAATGAAGCTTAACCTTAAGAAAACCACCAACCAATCACAGCAGACTTAATGTGTGCAAATACGATTCGCAGATACATGGCCTGACTTTCTAAGAAACGGTCACAAGCAGTACAGAATAACCTTCAGCAAGAAAACAACCAATCAGAAGACGCCGCTTCTCTGCTAACAATGAAGCTAATAATAATGCACATACAAACCTATAAATAAGCCTTAATTTTCTCAATAAACGATCTGTTGCTTAACCCCTGTCCTCTGTCGTTACAATATTAGTATGTTAAAAGTGCATATGAAGCAAAAATTAAAGTTATTTTATAATATACCTATGTTCTGAAAACAATATCTCCACAGTCTATTCTGTGGCTTTCGGAAATTTGCTGACTCCAGGAGAATATAACACTGTTTAAGCGATCCGCATTTGAATTTTAACAAGCTGTGATAAAGCGCTGCCAAATTTACGCTTCCGCTAGTGTATGCAGTACAACAAAGTTACATGGTTATATTATTCATTAATGTGTAACTTGAGCAGAAGTCATTTTTCCCGCGTTATTCAAGTATCTTTTAGTGCTTGAATAATGTTTTTTTTTCTTTGTGCACTTATGCTCAGTAGCTGGAATAGTGCATTGTGTACTGTACGATGCCTAAATAAATGTCACACTGGTGACGGTTATTTTCGCGCAGTTTCAAGTAAACTTAGTTGCATTGAAACAGACAACTTGTTTCGTGGCCTTTAATGTTATGTGGATATGATGGAGAAGATTTGTAGCTCAGGTGGATGATTTTGATGTGGTTGTGTTCTCTGAGCTGGATAGTTAATTTACGAAGCTTTCATCACCCCCTACTAGGCAACATCTTCAGCGCATACTTCAATTCGTTGAAGTGAGCTTTTAGATTTCTCCACGAGTTTATAAATCATCTCTCCCCGTGACCTTGAACGCGATTGGTTGTTTTTGTGTGTTTTCACACCTTCTAGGCTACTTGTATTGGAACTGATTGTTTATTTGACTTGAAGTCAAGAAACAATCAGTTAAGGTCAAAGAAACAATCAGTTGAAGTCAAATAAACAATCAGTTCCAATACAAGTAGCCTAGAAGGTGTGAAAACACACAAAAACAACTAATCACGTCACGGTTCCTGGGAGAGATGACTAATAAACTCGTGGAGAAATCTAAAAGCTCACATCAAATTGAAGTATGCACTGAAGATGTCACCTAGTAGGGCGATGAAATCTCCGCAAATTAACTATCCAGCTCAGAGAACACAACCACATCAAAATGTTATGTGGTCATGAAACGCTTACTACACTCCCTCAAGTCGTCATCTATTTAATTTCAAATAACTGCTAATTAATGTTTATTTATCGACTGAAGTTTACCTGTGGTACTGAGTGTGTCTTCAATAGCAAAGGTATCAAAACAAGAACTGGCTTGTATCTGCCTTTATTTAAACTCAGTTCGCTACATCAAACGAAACCTTGACATGACCTTTTAGCATATATATATGATACACTACATAGGAGTAAAACAGAGACAGTTTCCCGTGAATACAAATTGCTGAAATCTATCAGAAGCGCATATGAGAGCGTTATTTTCAATTAGTTTGCCTAATTTTTTGTCAGAGATATGTTGCACAAATGACAAAACACAATTGTTATAAAGGGTAAAGGTTGAATTCTTTTTTAGATATAAGGCTTCTAGATTTTACACAAACAGTTAGGTAGCTTGAGTTGTCAACCAAGCGGGCGGTTAAAATTAATTAATCATCAGGCTTTTGTTTAAATTTAAATCATTCAAGTGATCAGCAAGCGGACTAATGAAAATTGAAATAGTAACTGACGTAAAATTAGTTTTACACCCCTATGGTTCACCTTGTCTAGCTGAAAAATTTAATTTTAAATTTCACTTCCAGATCACACATTTTTCGTTATTTCATAAAATGTCACCCGAAATTCGCGAAACTTATCATTTACTTTTAAATAGCCCTAGTCAGATTTACATGTATATTAGAACTGCTCCTGTAGAGTGAGCAAGTTACATAGGCCTTACAATTAGGCGTGTTTCTCTTCGGGTTTCCGAAAATCACCCTGCGTGCTTGGTTAAGTAAAGGACGAACAAAATCTATTCACAGCGCTATTCTATCTTATCTTGTGGATACAGAACACAAAACTGATGTTAACAAGGCGGCTTTAAAAGTCATTTACCGTATACCAACAAATCTCAAATTCACTCTAAGAGTTCGACTACTAAATATTACTGAGGCTGGCTCTTGGGATCCATATTAACAAGCCTAACTTGTATGTCCAAAAGAAGTTGGTTGGTTCAGACATTATCCTTACCTTGGCCATCTACGTTTGAATGATCCTCAGTTGTTTTGTGGAATTTTCCTAATTGTAGTTGATATTCTATTTGCTATTATATCTATATGATTATTATGATTTAAGCATCTTTAATGAACTGTAATTCCGTTGTGATCCTGCTTTACAAATCGATATTATTTAAAAAACGCCAATATTGTTATTGACTACTAATCTAGAATATTCTATGTATATAAACATACATATATATATATAAGTGTAGAGCCAAAAGAAGAATTTATAGAAAAGCATATTCTTCGCTCAATTATTTTGTATATTAGAACTGTTTGTAATTACTGTAATGCATCAAGATGAAGAGAATCATTCGAAAGACAGGAAAGAAGAATTGTGTTTCGAAACACCATGATCTTTTTTATTAGAATTTATTAGGATCTCACACACAAGCAGTTAAAAGACAGTTAAAACAATTATTAATATTATTCATCGAAGAGATTTATCAATTGTACTGTATTTAAAAGAGTCATCTATAAAGATTATTGCAGTTGTTACTGTCTTTGTCAGAACAATAGTGAGACGTTTAAAAATTTCTATGAGCAGGTGGTTATTGAAAATGTCTCATTCTACAAAATGGCAGGCACACCATGCTTAAAGTGCCGAGGTTAAGTAGAACACACTTACCCATATCTGTAAAAGTTAGTAAGAAATGCATTTGAAAAGGCAAAACATTTCAATATATTGTGCGGCTTTTCGAGGAAGTTAATTTAACACTAATTGTATAATAATGCATTATCAGGAGTTGCATTCAGCCAGTATGATACTGTATTTCAAATCTTTAAATATTCCCATTTTTAATATTAATACAAGACATATAAGCGAACAATATTGTTTTCAAGTAGTTCTTCTTCATGCTTTACTCTAATTTACATGAACACCAGGTACAATAAAGAGAAACTGACAACAGTTAAAAAGAAACAACTGTTCATGAAATTGCAGCTTAATGGGGACGTGGCTAGTGAACTCTTACATCTGAGGTTATAGAGAGCAATAAAATGGACTTATACTGCCGCCACCCTTTGTTTGTCATTTTCCAGCCGACCAATTATGATTGCTCAAGCGAAAGACAAGCTACCTAGCAGTGCCACTTCTATGTGTATCTACAAATTTAGTTGTTCCTTTGGAGAGAGCTATATAGGGCAAACAACTAGATAGCTTAACAAATGCATTAATCAGCATATTCCTTCATGGTTCGGAAACGGTCAAATAAAATCTATAAGAGGTTCTATTTTGGCTAATTTGATTGATAGCAGTCACCAAGTGGACAAAAATAGTGCCTTCAAAGTTATCTATCGCATTCCATTGAACCTATCGAACGGAAGTCGAAGTCTCCTTTTACACATAGCAGAAGAGGCAATGGGAATTAATTCGAGAGAAAATTCTTAGTCTTTGCATACGAAAAACGTTTGCTCTACCTTTATCTCTCCCTTGGCCTAGGTAAATTCTAATTGAAAATCCTCCCTCCCTTTCTTATTTTCTATTCCCTTCGTACTTTTACGATAATTATTTAAACTGTGATTATCAGTCCATTTCACCTTTAGTATTATGTAACTCCTAGGATTTGACCTAATTTATTTATTGAATTGTCTACGTATACACATATTTCTACTGGAAAACCTGAGAGTACTGAACAGCTGTTTCGTCCTAGTTTGGGGTTCCAACCCAGGATCTTCTGGTTACAAGGCGAGCTCGTAGACCATTGAGCCACTGGGAACCGATCCAATGGTCCTCGAATTCTAACTTCTGCCTATTCACGACATAAGTGATATCAGCTCATGATGGAATCTTCCATCCAGTCAAACAAAAATCCCTACAAAACCAATACTTGAGAATTAATCTGATGCACACTAGCGACTGGTCCTATTCAGGCAGTTAACCTGGGGTTCTAGTGGGAAGCCGTGACCAGTAGGTTACAGCAGGTTGAAAATGAGGCAGTAACTCATCGAAGAAGACATTGCGAAATGGTCGCTTTATGTCGTGAATTGGCAGAAGTTACAATTCAAAGACTGTTGGATCGGGTCCCAGTGGCTCAATGGTCTGCGAGGTCGCCCCATAACCGGGGGGTTTCGGGTTCGGAACCCGGCGGGTGCGTGCTTTTGAAGTCGGTCCCAAACTAGGAAAACGGAAACAGATATCTAGTACTCCCAGGTTTTACAGTGATTCTCTAAATGGTGCCAGCTCATGATGAAATCCTCCAATTCATCACACAATATTCCCTACAAAACCAATACTTGAAAAACATATTACTACCTTCACTATTCTTATCGCCACCTGCATAAACCTTATTATCAATATTTTGTTATCATTATAATCCTCGTTATTAACTACGTTCAAATCATTAACCTCATCATTATTATTATTTGATCCACAAAATCACCGTCATTGGTTAAAATTTTTATGCATAAATCTGTGTACATTAGAGTCAGGCATGAAGAAGATCTAATTGAAAACAATATTGTTCGCTTATATGTCTTGTTCTAATACTGCATCTCAACAGGACATAGCAAAACTACGCCATTAACTTAGTTTCTGCACTGTGTCAAGATAATAAATAGGAAGAGATGTCACTAAAGAGTAATGTAGGCGTTCTTATGGCGCTTTTTTCAATGCCATTAGTTTTCAGATATTAAGGATTTAATGTGATATGGTTTTATGCCTGTAAATTGACTTAGCTCGCCAGTAACTCATAGAGTTAATTCGGTTGCCTTGTATTTATAAGTTGTCTGCTACAGAAGATCTCTCTATTTAATGCGAAGGTGAGTTGGTCGCCAATGCACCTGTTCGTTTTCACATGTTATTCAAAAATCCATCTAGTGGTTAAGCTTTGAAGTCAGGAAGTTCAGTAACGGAATTCTTTTGTACACAATATAGTTCAACGTATTTTTCTGTTATATGTCAAAGCAGTAATAGTGATTTCCAGGAATTTTACTCACTGTCAAGCACTGTGTGAGTGTATTCAGGGCTTTTATCTGACTGAGTTCAGATAACATTGAAAATTTTGCTTACATTTTGCTCAGTTAGGAGTAAAATATGTAGACGAAACTAGATGAATATTAGATTTCATGGATCTTTAGGAGGTCGTCAGACTATTATTATTATATTACTGTTCCATTAGGTTCCTAGTGGAACATAGGGCTTCAACTACACGTCTCCACTTGCTTCTGTCTTCTGCTGTACTTTTCACTTGCATCCATGTAAGTCCATAATGTTTCAAATCCTCCTCTATGTCACTCCTGGACGTCCAAATCACCGCTTCCCTTTCGGGTTCCACTCGAGTGATGGCCTGACACGCGATGTCACCCAACGGCCTCCTCAGCGAGTGTCCAATCCATCTCCACTTTCTCCTGAATATTTGTTGGGCGATTGGTTCTTGTTTTGTTTCTTCCCATAGTCTCTTGTTGGTGATTCTTTCCGGCCATCTGATCTTCAGTATAGAACGAAGACAGTTGTTGATAAAGGTCTGCAACAGGCTGTTGGAAACACTCATTCTTTGTGACCCGCCAAGTTTCCGATCCATCCGTATAGAAGAACTGACTGACTTGACGTTTGTATTGAAAATCCAAATATTTTGTTGTTGATGCAGGCTGAGTGGCGAAGATTTCCAGATTGGTTTCAGGTTGATAAATATGTTTCTCGCCTTCCCGATTCTCGATTTGACATCCTCGTCCGTCCCTCCTGTAGTTGAGAAAATACTTCTTACCTAGATAAGTGAATGAAGTAACCTCTTTCATATCCCTCCCATTCATGGTGATTGGCGCTGGATGTTGATGCTGTTCTTGTTGTTGTTGTTGGTTGATTATTTCCATGTCCTCCGTCTTGTCTATGTTCACCTGGAGTCAGTCCTGTCTTTGCTGCTTCTTCGACCAGTTTGTCGGTTTTTGGTTTTAAGTATTCGATTTTGTGTGACATCAAACATAAATCACCCACGAAATCCAGGTCTTCTGGGTTCTTCACGTCGGTCCAGGATATCCCTGTCTTCTCGTTTCCCACTGTCTGTCAGACTATTAGTCAATTGAATTTGCAGCTTCTTTAGTCTACCACTCTAGACTAACAATACGTGTTCGTACATTAATTACTGTGTAGTCATATTTTCAAAAATATATAAATCGAGTGTTGAAAAAAACTAACTTTTTCATTGTATCAAATTTTGAAGTCTTCTCTACAATAACTAAGTGCTTCATTTTACAGATTCAGCATATAATAGAAAAATTGCTCATTTGAAAACCTACAGTGGTAGAATACATTTTAAAAAAACACAGTAGATTCAAATGATGTCAGTCTGCAAAGAGAGTTGTGAAATGTCTCTCTGTTTCCTATGAAAATGGACTTTTTTAAGGTTAAAATTGGGGGAAGCGCTTACCTCATTTTTAATATTTCTCTCATTTTATTGAAATTTATTCTGTGATCCTCATGAACTGACGACTGAGTCTTTGATACTTCAGCTACATTCTTGATCTTATCAATCGAGCTACACGAGTTTGACAGTCGTTTATTTAATCCAAGATTTAAATTGTGTCCTGTGCACCTTGTTGTCTGCTGAGGTTGTTTCTGATCTTCTAGACGAGCGTGCATATACTTAGTGAGGCTGCATTTCAAATCACTTTGAAGATTGATTGGATTCGGTGAGGTACTGTCACTGCTGTTTTGCTCAATGAAGGACAGTAATTTCTCGATGACAAGATTTAAGTTGACAAATACTTTCCTAGAAAAAAACAGTAATTATAAGTCAGTTTTCAATTTGCTCAATATTTCATTACATAAATGTGATAATGTTCCACTAAACAGTATAAAACTTGGGCACTGTGGTAGAGTGTAACTCCATTATGGATAAGATTTTATTTCGAAAAATCACACAGAGTTCCGCAGTAATATTAACTGATGACCACATTTCGAGCACAAACTGTTGCTCATAATCATATCAAGGTATATATATATATATATATTTCAATTCACGTATATCACAACATTCTAACAATTTACTTATTTTGACTATATAAACACTCGTCGTATTTCCCATCTGATTGTAATTGATCAATAACACTCATTTTATTATTTCTGAATGTACATTATCCCATATTGAATTTTGTTCAAATGTCTAATCATCAGTTCCACTCATGTATATAAATGAAGCAAGAAAGTTGTGAGTAGTGATTGGATATGATTATGAGCACTAATAATTTGTGCTCGAAACGTGGTGGCATCAGTTAATATTACTGTATTACACTGTGTGATTAAATCAGAATCAAATCTTATCCATAATGGAGTATGCGTCGGTGGTACAGAGGTTAGGACGCTCGCCAACTATGCACATGGTCCGGAGTTCGAATCCCTGCCAATGCACACCTGATATCAGTGGTCGGCCTGCAAAATTTGGGCTACCGATATCACATGCTGAAAATTCTATACTTGTACCAAAAATACAGTGCAGAATCAAGCTATAATCAAAATAAAAATAAATAAATAAAATATACCTAAAGGTAGCAGGGAGGCTAGGACTTAGGGAAGCTATATATCAATGGATAGCTCTCGACGAAATCTACCCATTGGTACCGGTATCACACCTTATAGCTTCTCCTCAGCCGAATAGGGAATTTCTTCAAAGGCTACAGGGGAAACCTGTTTTTTAGCTCCGCGACCTCAGGTTGTATGCCGTTGTGTATGTAGCTAGGTGGCATTACCAACCATAGGGCAGCAGGGGGCAGAGACTGCTAGGCAGGAAAATCCTCGTATTTAGGAATAGCTCTGATTTATATACCATTGGATTCCTCTCAACAAGACGAACCGATTGGTACCCGTCTCATCCCTATAGGACTTACGGTTGCGGAGCTATGACTTCTTTAATTTCAGGATTTATCCTCCTATTTTAGCGTTTCTTAGGGTGAACATGCTCTTTCATTTCATCCACGATGTTATCGGCAGTGGGGAGCTGATATGGAAACCGAGGCTGACCGGCAGCTTAACCGGACTTCTACTGATATGACTGTGGCGACGGTATCAGTAGGAGATAACTTGGGCCGTCACACCGTTCCTAGCGTAGCTCCGTTGATAGTAGCAACGGGCACCAACCAAATTTGTCAAACCTCACAACCTACTGATACATATCAGTGGGGGCTGGACTTAGTCGTCATCAATCCAACCCGATGAACCAAACGAATTCAAAAAATATCATGCCGGATCGGCCGTGGCCCGGATTAACAACGACCGCGCTCTCTGCTGCCGTGTCACAGGGCAGAAGTGATAAGTACACTACTGAGACACACCAGGCCGTGTGTGACCGGCCTCAAGTAGATGTCCCCTGGGCTCTGCGGTCACGCACCACTAACCTTTCTTCTATTTAAGGTACCCAAAGACTAAACTCAGGCGTGAGGCCAGCAACCCCACCCTGTAAACAAACCTGCTACAGAAACTTCAGCGTGAACAATCTCCTTGCGTCAAAAGAAAAAGTCTGTGTGGGGACATGGAATGTCCGCACCATGTACGAGATTGGCAAAGCTGCCCAGATCGCAAGCGAAATGAGAAGATACGGACTACAAGTATTGGGGATCTGCGAAAGCAGATGGAACGGAAACGGACTCACCAAATTGTCAACAGGTGAGTCAGTGATTTACTCCGGTCACCCAGAAGACAACCACACACACACCGAGGGCGTGGCTATAATGATGTCACCAACGGCAACCAAGGCTCTGATACAGTGGGAGGCGATCTCACCAAGAATAATGAGCGCCAGATTCAACTCCAAAGGAAGAAAAGTGTCAATTATACAATGCTATGCACCCACAAACAACGCAGACCTCGAAAAGAAAGAAGAATTCTACAGACAACTACAGGCAGCAATAGACAATACTCCAGCCGGTGACATTAAAATACTAATGGGAGACATGAACGCAAAACTTGGACCAGACAACACAGGAAGGGAACTCATCATGGGTAAAGAAGCTCTCGGAGAGATGAATGAAAATGGAGAACTCTTCGCCGACTTCTGCGCCTTCAATGAACTAGTGATTGGTGGCAGCGTATACAAACACAAGGATATTCACAAGGCTACATGGGTGTCACCAGATGGGCGAACCAAAAACCAAATTGACTTCATCACAATCTCGAGGAAGTGGCGGCGCAGCTTACTGGACACAAAAGCAAGAAGAGGAGCAGACGTTGGCTCAGACCACTACCTCGTACAAGGAACAATCCAACTCAAATTAAAAGCTTTCAGAGAATCAGGAGCTGCAGATAGACCACAAGCCAAGTTCAACACTCAAAAACTAAAGGACCAGGATACAAAGGATATCTTTACTGCAAGTATAAAGGACAAAGCTGAGACACAAATCAACATTAGCGAAGAGGTCAGCGTCGAAAAACACTGGGACAAACTGAAAACAGTATGGAGCGAAACCTGCATGGAAGTTCTGGGCAGAAAGAAGAGACAGGACAAACCGTGGCTCAGTACGGACACTTGGAGGCTAATAGAAGAGAGAAGGATGGTGAAACAAAAGATTCTCCAGTGCACCGACGAGCAACAGAAACAGGAGTTGAATGCAAGCTACAATACACTGAACAAAGGAGTAAAGAAAAGTGCCAGAGAAGACAAAAGAAAGTATTATGAAGCCATGGCCAATGAAGCAGAACAAGCAGCAGGCAAAGGAGACCTCTCAACACTCTACCAAACAACTAGGTACCTCTCAGGCAGAAACTCGTCACAAATTAAGCCAGTGAAGGATGAAAATGGAAAGTCAATCACCAAAGAAGTGGAGCAAAGGAAACAGTGGGCTGAACACTTCAAAAGACTACTAAACCGACCGCCACCTACAACGCGCCCAACAATACCAACAACGGAAGCAGAATTACCAGTAAACATCAACCCCCCGACGAAAACAGAAGTCCTGAAGGCAATCAAGATGCTGAAAGCTGGAAAAGCAGCAGGACCAGATGGAATCCCAGCAGAAGCATTGAAAGTCGACCCAGAGACAACAGCAGACTTGATGACGCCACTACTGGAGAAGGTGTGGAAAGAAGGCAAAGTACCCGAGGATTGGAAGAAAGGATACCTATTCAAACTACCAAAGAAAGGAGACTTAAGTCGGTGCAAGAACTGGTGCGGAATTATGCTCCTGTCCAACCCAAGCAAAATACTAAGCCGCATCATCCTGGAAAGGATCAAACAAGCCCTGGATGAAAAATTTCGACCAGAACAAGCTGGATTCAGGAGAAACAAGTCATGTATTGATCAAATCGCCACACTACGGATCATCATTGAACAAAGTTTGGAATGGCAGTCACCTCTCTATCTCAACTTCATCGACTTTGAAAAGGCCTTCGACAGGGTCGATCGAGAGGTGATTTGGCAACTACTTCGCTACTACGGGGTGCCACCGACAATTAGACGTCTCATCCAACAGCTGTACGACAATGCTGCATGCCAAGTAATCCACAACGGGAAACTTACGGAACCCTTCGAAGTGAGGACAGGAATAAGCCAATGGGTGCCTACTATCGCCAATGATTTTCTTGATAGCAGTAGACTGGATAATGCGACAACAGTGGGCAATGAGGAAAAAAGCATAAAATGGACTCACACAAAGAACTTGGAGGATCTGGACTTCGCCGATGATATATGCCTGATTTCCCACAAACTGGAAGATATGCAAGCGAAAAGCAACAAGTTGGCAGAAGGAGCATCGAAGATAGGACTTCAGGTGAACATAGAGAAAACAGAGGTGATGAAGACTCCTGACCAACACCAACAGCAGCAACAACAACAGACAACAATCAGTATAAATGGGAGGAACCTGAAAGAAACTACCTCCTTTACCTACCTGGGAAGCATCGTTTCAACTACAGGCGGAACTAACGAGGATATCAAAGCGAGGATTGGGAAAGTAAGGCAAGATTTCATTACTCTCAAGTCTGTATGGAGGTCAACAGCACTCAGCATCAAAAATAACATCCGGATTTTCAACTCCAATGTGAAGTAAGTGCTACTATACGGATCAGAGACTTGGCATGTAACAAAAAGCACCTCAAACAAGCTACAGACCTTCATTAACAGATGTCTTCGCTCAATACTCAAGATCAGATGGCCGGAAAGGATCAGCAACAGAGATCTCTGGGAGCGAACCAACCAGCAGGAACCGACTGTGAAACAAATAGGCAGGAAGAAATGGAGATGGATTGGCCACACTCTGAGGAAACCAGCAAGTGACATCACTAGACAAGCCATTGCTCGAGTGGAACCCGAAAGGGAAGCGGCAAGTTGGTCGTCCAAGGGTGACCTGGAGGAGATCATGTGAAGAGGAGATGAAAGCATGTGGTCAGACCTGGAGCCAGGTGAAAACTCTAGCAGAGAACCGAACGCAATGGAGACGCATGGCTGAAGCCCTATGTTCCTCTAGGAACTAAAGGAAATAATAATAATAATAATAAAGGTAGCAGAAGTGAGTTTCACTCATAATTTGCACAATTTTCTCAGCGATAAGCGCTGAGAAAACAGCAAACTCAGTAATCTCAAAACACTTGTCGTTCAGAACTGGAAGGTAACTACTGAATCTAGGTAAGTCAAAGGACACTTAACAGCCGGTGAACGTCACCTACGATCTTGATGAGATTATCCACTCAAAACTTCAAAGCTTTACTTTTATTTTCCAGATCATTTAATGCAGAAGCATCAGTGAATATTTCTAGACGACAGCTAACACAAAAGTCGAAGTAAATGACTATGAAACATTCGTACTGGTGGATGTATACCTTAACGCTCACTACTGGTTCTCATAGTCCGTGACTCTATTCCATACTTATTATTATTGTTATTGTTTCCTTTAATTCCTAGAGGAACATAGGGCTTCAGCCGTGCGTCTCCATTGCGTTCGGTTCTCTGCTAGAGTCTTCACCTGCTCCAAGTCTGCCCACACGTTTTCATCTCCTCTTCACATCACCTCCTCCAAGTCACCCTCACACTGACGACCAACTCGCCGCTTTCCTTTTGGGTTCCACTCGAGCGATGGCTTGTCTAGTGATGTCACTTGATGGTTTGTTTCCTCAGAGTATGGCCAATCCATCTCCATTTCTTCCTGCCTATTTGTTTCACAATCGGTTCCTGCTGTGTTGGTTCGCAGAGATCTCTGTTGCTGATCTTTTCTGACCCGCCATCTGATCTTGAGTATTGAGCGAAGACAACTGTTAATGAAGGTCTGTAGTTTGTTTGAGATGCTCTTTATGACGCGCAGTGCAAGTCTCTGATCCGTATTAGTAGCACTGACTTCACATTGGAGTTGAAAATCCGGATCTCATTTTTGATGCTGAGCAGTGCTGTTGACCTCCACACAGACTTGAGAGTAATGAAAGCTTGTCTTGCTTTCCCGATCCTCGCTTTGATATCCTCGTCAGTTCCTGCCTGTAGTTGAAACGATGCTTCCCAGATGGTAGGTAAAGGAGGTTGTTTCTTTCAGGTTCCTCCCATTTATGCTGATTGTTGTCTGTTGTTGTTGCTGCTGTTGGTGTTGGTCAGGAGTCTTCATCACCTCTGTTTTCTCTATGTTCACCTGAAGTCCCTCCTATCTTCTCTGGATGCTTCTTCTGCCAACTTGTTGCTTTTCACTTGCATATCTTCCAGTTTGTGGGAAATCAGGCATATATCATCGGCGAAGTCCAGATCCTCCAAGTTCTTTCTTTGTGTGAGTCTATTTCATGCCTGTTTCCTCATTGTCGGCTGTTTGTCGCATTATCCAATCTACTGCATCGTGAGAATGTTTTGTCTGCTGACGCATACCGTCACTAATCCAGTATTATTACTGTAACCAGTGCCGTGCCTCAGCCTTTAGTAGTTACAATAATTGACAAAACACGTTATACTTTAACAGAATCGAGCATCTGAAAACCCCCTCTGGACAATTTGTAGCAGAGTCAGTATACCGAAAGCTTCTGTTATGAGATAAAAACAACAGCATAGTTCAGATTTCACTTATGCAGTGAATTGAGTTTTGAAGTTTAATGTTTATTGACAATGTTTTATTACGACTTCCTGAATTTCTTTCTCGTATTCTCAGACTGGTAGTTAAAAAGGTCTCCTACAAAATCCAGTTTTCATTTTGTATTTTTTTCTCTGCATCATAAAATAATAAAATGGGGAGAATTTATATTTATTACATTCCGTCCACTTTGTGTCTTAACTTATTCAAAATTGCAATAAATTTCCAAATTATACAATTTTCAAGCTTGTTGCTTCAATATATTTTCACCTTGAGGAGTAGTAGTATGTCTGTTGACTGTGCTAATAAAAATTTCCAAACTTCAGCCGCTATCGTGAATATATTATGCGTATAATACCCGTTTGTAGTAAATATATATATATATCCTTATGTGAGCTCATCAAAACAAATGCAGACACGTTTGCCTGGAAAAGTTGAAGTAAGAACCGACTTGATAACTATTTAGGATGCTTAACAGACATGCTATGGAAGTTATATTACAGCTATACTCTGTTCAGCGTGGATATGTACTGAAAACACTAAATTTGAAAGAGATTGAATAAAGCTGGAATCCGGTCAAAGTATCCAATACAGTCTCCTACAGAAGGTCACTCAGTCACGAGCCCGAATAGCTCAGTGATAACGTCTCTAACTCACTGCAGCACTGGGTGACGCGGGCTCGAACCTCAGAAGAGACATGAGTTCCTTCAAGGTTGCAGATACACCTTGCTGAAGAGTGCTAACAAGCAAGAAACCTAGGTGCAAGACTTTCTGCTGATTGCTTCCAAACATCTAATACCAACACCTCTGGATGAAGAATGGTGGCCACATTGCAAATAATATAATAATGGTAATTTTTGCTTTATTCCAAAAACAGTACTAATGATACAGCAAGGAATTTTCAGCATTCAGTACAATATTGCATCTAATTTACTCAAAACGACAAAAAAATAAACATTACATAATAATAATAATAGTAATAATAATACTAACAAAACGCTGTTAGAGCAGCTATTTAGCAAATAACCGTAAGCGATACGGAGAAAAATATGCATAAAGTAAAAATTATAGTAATAAAAACTGAAATAAAATAGCAAAGTTATAATTAAACGATAGAGAGGGTGACACCATAAAACTACAGAAAGATGAACGATGAAAGGCCCGACTCACTTAGCTAATTACATAGTAACTTATATGTTTCACGTCTAACAGTGTCTTCATCACATAAAATACGGTGTTGTAGAACTTTTGTATTTAGTGGTTCGAGTATATAACTTCTTATATTGACTTCTCGTCCTACCCGATGAGATGCAAGGGGATAGTTGTGAATAAAGGGGGTGCAGAGGGTCTGACAGTACGGCCTTTGCCCATTTTGTAAAGGATTTTATATGTCTCTTGACTATAATATTCGCGAGCTCACGCAGTGGCGTACCACAAGCCCTACTCACAGCATTTAATACCCTTCGTAATATGATATAGTCCTTTTTGAGAAGAGAGAGCAATAGCGTACAGTAGGTAAAATACGGGAGTTTACAAACTGCAGAAGTAAAGGTTGGTTGATACCTGATTGTCTTAACTTTTTAATGTAGAAGGTAAGACGAAACATTTTCTTAGAGACTAATAAGATGTGGGATGACCATGAAAGGTCAGAGGAAAGAACTAATCCAAGGTATTTAATGCTTGACTTGGTTTCAATTTCAGTGCCATCTGTGCTACAGGCATCATGGGGACTAACTAATTCATATATGTTACGTCGATGCTTGACAGTAAAGTTGACTGCCTAACATTTGGAAGGATTTAACATAAGACCATTTCACTTAGACCACTAACTGATGTTCAACAGAAAGCTATTAAGTTTGGAGCAGTCAGACTCGGAAGTGTTAGGCAATGATACAGTCAGATCATCCGCAAAGTGATAGACTGATAGAATTCAGTCTGCACCAAACAATGGGCTAGATGCATGACACTAATTAGTGTCCAATCCGAGCGCGTTTTATTTCGTAGATTCTCTTCAACTGCATACATCCTAAACCGTTTCAAAACATAATTTACTAAATTCTAATCATACTCTTCTCACAGTGACTTCCATTTACAGAAAGAAATTATAAGCAACATAATTCCAAAAATGAAGTAAGTAGACAATTATTTAATGTCAAAACGGTTACTATTTATAGAATAATAAGACAAGGAGGGACAGAGTTCAGATTTCGCTTCGAAACGAGGATGTACTAAGGACTAAATAAGTGCTCGAACAACAGAATGAATTAATACATATGACTATGGAGAGCTCAGGAGCGTGACAGTGAACACTAAAGTAGAACTGTAAGATAGACAAAACAGTTTAGTAGATATGGAAACTTACTAGTGAGTTCAACTCAATAAATGAAAATCAGAATTCAGTGGAATGTTACGCAACAGGACCAAGCGCAAAAACAAATAAACAACACAATTGCAGATAGCAGGGTATCAGAGATTTATCCCGCTACATTCTTGTATGCACAAGTTAGGATGAAATCTTTTGATAGCAATGGCTTCTACGAAACGCATTAACCAGGATTTTTGTTTGCCGATTGATTATTTTGAAAGCCTGACTAGTTTCCATGGTATATCTTGTGTCAGACGTCTGACAACTTCAATTGAGAACACTTTGCTGCCTTTCATGCTGAAAGTTTTGGGATAATGCTCAGAAATTCTAGCACATTTGCTTAAAGATGCTTAGAGATGCAAGACTTTTTAGGGCTATTAATACGTAATGTTCTCACTATACTGGTAGTTAATCTCAGTGGATTTACAGTGCTAATTTTTTACAAGTAATTATTACAACATCTCGTAAATCAGACTTTACTGAATAAAGCTCCTTTCTTCTCAGTTCCTTCATGCACCAGTATCATGAATAAAAGAAGATTTAGTTAGACTGACCTGCTAAATGCTTAGAAAACGTGTAAGTGTTTGAAATAGTTAAACAAAACAAATGCAGGAGGGATAATGGGTATAAAATGGTAAATTTGCCAGCTGTGAATACTAAGAAACCTGTGTTATCCAAGACATTATTTAGGACGAGTTGCAACATCAATCTGTCCATATTAGTAGAGAGCGATTTAGGTATAAAGGGCTATATAGTATTCGTTGCGAAGTCTTTCAAAGCTGCAGTGATTTCATGTGCTCTTCAAAGTGTTCACTACTGATGTCGAAAAGATAATGCAAATCTGCAACCTTGAAGTAACTTTTGTTCATTCTGAGATTGGCACCATCCAGTACTGCAGTCAGAGACGCCACCACTGAGATAATCGGCTGACAATTGACCTCCTGTAGGACTGTATTTTGGGATATTTTTGAATGGACACTAGTCAGTAACTAGTGTAGTGCGTCTAGTCTTATCTTTGATGTCTTGGCTTCCTGACGATTGCCTACAACTATCTAATAACAACAATTCACAATGCACGTGATGGCGAACAACCTACCATGGTGGTCACATTGCAAACTTGACTTGTAGAATTCAGTCTGCGCCAAAGATAGGACATTGCACTTGCTACTGACTAGTGTCCAATCAAAAATAATTAATGCATACGATTAGTAGATGTACAATGAAATTCATGAAGTATTTAGTAATTTCCCAATAGTTTACCTTGTTTCATCCGAAAAGTATTGTAGATAGTCACGTGGTACCCAGCTTTCATAAATTTGTTTCCACAATAAACGTAGCTCTTCAGTATGAAAGCGGCTAACATCGTTTAGAAGAGATTTTACATCGATTGCTTCATCATTGTGATAATTATAATTAAATTTAGTTCTCTCCAGTAACTGTTTTTGCCAGAATACACGTTCGTCGTTAATTGAACGATTCCATAGCTCCATGAATTTTTGCCAGGTGGCAGATGAAAACATTGAATCATTAGTAGTTATTTTAGGTAATGTCTGATGTGATGTCGATTCAAGGAACTCAAATGAATTTTTAAATGAACTGTAAGGAATAAAGTATATTTGAAAAAGGTATAAACAGTGCAAGTACAGAGAACTTTAATATCTTTGAACAGGCACATAGTTTTGTTAGTCTATTCCTGGGTTAAGAAAAAGGATCGGTACGATAAGAACTATGTGAAAATGATCAAAAGTTTGATAAGCAAAGATTAAACTCGATGTATTCAGACTTCATTATATTATGAGTTGGTCAAACATATATGAACAGAAGATAAGTTAGCAGGTTACCTAAGTTAAGATTCCTGGTGAGGTCATGCTTGCGTACTGCTAAGCTGTCCGAAAAGAAGGCGAAACACCTGTCTAGCAATCCCTGGTTTTCACTGGTTCTCTGACTAAAGTCAGTTCATGACCAAACTTGAAATTTGCTAAAATTCCTCATAAGTATTATTATTATTATTGTTCCCTTGGGTTCCTAGTGGAACATAGAATTTCAACTGCACGCCTCCACTTGCTTCTGTCTTCCGCCGTGCTTTTCACCTGCATCCATGTTAGTCAATACTGTTTCAGCTCCTCTTCACACGATCTCCTCCATGTCACCCTTGCTGACGTCCCACTCGCCGCTTCCCTTTCGGGTTCCACTAGAGTGATGGCCTGACGCGCGATGTCACCCAACGGCCTCCTCAGCGAGTGTCCAATCCATCTCCACTTTCTCCTGCATATTTGTTGGGCGATTGGTTCTTGTTTTGTTTCTTCCCATAGTTTCTTGTTGGTGATTCTTTCCGGCCATCTGATCTTCAGTATAGAACGAAGACAGTTGTTGATAAAGGTCTGCAACAGGCTGTTGGAAATATTCTTTGTGACCCGCCAAGTTTCTGATCCGTATACAAGAACTGACTGACTTGACGTTTGTATTGAAAATCCGAATTTTGTTGTTGATTTTGAGGAGTAACGAAGATTTCCAGATTGGTTTCAGGTTGATGAATGTGTTTCTCGCCTTCCAGATTCTCGATTCGACATCCTCGTCCGTTCCTCGTGTAGTTGAGACAATGCTCTCTACCTAGATAAGTGAATGAAGTTACCTCTTTCAAATCACTCTCGTTGATGGTGACTGGCGCTGGATATTGCTGCTGCGGTTGTTGTTTGTTGGTTATTTTCATAACCTCCATCTTGTCTATGTTCACTTGGAGTCCTGTCTTCTCTGGCTGCTTCTTCGACCAGTTTGTCAGTTTTCGCTTGTAAGTCTTCGATTTTGTGTGACATCAAACATAAATCATCCACGCGTGAAATCCAGGTCTTCTAGGTTCTTCATGTCGGTCCAGGATATCCCTGTCTTCGCGTTTCCCTCTGTCTGACGCATAATCCAGTCCACCACAATTAGGAATATCATTGGTGATAATAAGCACCCTTGTTTGACTCCTGTGTTTACTCCAAACGCCTCGCTGAGTTTTCCGTTGTGTTCCTCATAAGTCCTAAGGCAGTATTGAAATGGCAGTCTGTAAATGGTTTGTTGTCATCATTCACTGCATTATACAAATGTAGAAGTGACTTCTCCTCATAAACCAGTCATAGAAATCTTCCAGTTAGCCTAATTAATTTGCATAATCAGAAAACTAGCTGTACAAGCTTAAATTCGTATGAAATGTCTTCTTGTTTTACCAGAAGATATACAAGGAGAAAGTTGAGAATCACAAAGAGGATGTTCAGTATCAGACAAGATAATTTTAGCCAAATGCTTGCAAGGATTGAAGTGCCTACTGACAATAATGCCAGCTAGCTGAGTCAAAGGCGTACACCACTAACCCTGCTTACAGTCTTCAGTGTTCTGCGTAAAATGACAAAGTTTTTTTTTAAATGTCCAGGAAAGAATTTTTTTCCCTTCACGTTCCCCAGTGGAACATAGGGCTTCAAGCTAGTGGCTTGAAGTTTCTGAAGCAGTGTTTATTTAACAGGATGGAGTTGCTAGCCTCATGCCCAACCTTTCCTCTCCACCAGCATTATTTCTGGCTTAGCGAGGTAAAGGAGTGCGTCGGCCAGGGATCGAACCCCGGACCATGTGCATGGTCGGCGAGCGTCCTTACCGCTATACCACCGACGCAACCCAGGAAAGAATAGTGACGAGCAATAAAGGAGAATGGGCGGAATACATGAATTGAAAAAATTGTGAGAGAAGAGGTTATGCTAGCAGAAAGGAATTGAGACAGTACAGCGCTTTGAGGCTTGATCATCTGAAGTATGTACTCAGAATATGAAAGCCGTTACTAAACTACACTAGCAGAAATCCTTGAACATTGTTCAAACTCACCTGGTCACCTGAACTCACTTAACGCTAAGATCCCAACTTGGTAACGAGTGATACTTGTAAGAGTTTCAGATGAGAACAAAACATTTACGTCTCTTTTTTCTATTGAGTTCAAGCTGATTAAAAGTCACACGATCTTTAGCCTACTCACGACTAATTTTTAACTTTCCACTTTAATTTATGACTTTTGTTAGTTTGAAACTTAACACAAATGCAAAATGTTACCGGCATTTTGAAACACGCGATTTAGAAAGTGAAACGATATTTTCATGTTTCTAATAGTTGGAAGCCTAGTATTCTCGAGATGTTTCCTGGAAGTAATCGCTTGCGTTTGCGTGAAAAAAATGTGTTTTCGTTATAAAACTATAAAATAAATGTACAGACTAGTTGTTGCCACTTGCAGTTAACACTTACTATAATTCGTCCGTTAATGTAGACAGATTATCTGACTCGCAAGCAGAATCTTTATGAATTGATGTGGAGTTGTAGAGGCCTTTCTGATTTTCCATTAGGTCCATCATCAGCGGATAATCTGTCATATTGAATGATGTAATATTTTCAATGACATCGTTGCTCTGTGCGCTAACATTGTTGTTTAACTTATTGGGTTCATTGCTTATGAGTTGGTTCAGCTGAAAACTCAGTAAGGGATAAAAATATTAACGATTTTGTATAATATATATATATATATAGTAAGGGGTATCTTGCAATTGCTTGTTTTGTCAATGAAACAAATGAAACAAGAGATAGTCTGTCTACATTATTAGACGAAAATTAAAATAGGCAACCCGTCACTCCTATTACATTAAAACAGTCACTTTTAATAGTGCTCGAATAGGAGACTTCGTAGACTCAGTGTATTATTGTATTATTATTCCCTTAGGTCCCAGTGAAACATAGGGCTTCAACAACACATCTCCACTTTGTTCTATTTTCTGCTGTCCTCTTCAGCTGGGCCCGTGATAGACCATAATCTCTCATCTCCTCCTCCCCATACGATCTCTTCTATGTTGGTTTCACACCGACCAATGCCAAACTCATCGCTTCCCATTTGCATTCCATTGGAACGATGGCCTGCATTGCGCGTGGTGTCATTCAACGGCCTCTTTAACGTATGCCTACCCAATCCATCTCTATTTTCTCCTACACATCTCTTGGTTGGTTTGTTCCCCGCTAATTCCTTCCTGCTGGCCAGTCGGCTGGTCATTTGATCTTCAATATGGAGCTAGAAAACGAAAGGGGAGCTGTTGATAAAGGTCTGTAAATGGCTGTCAAAAATCCTTTACGTGACACGCTATATAAGTTCTGATCCGTATAGAGGAACTGGCTGACTGACTGACTGACTTCATATTTATGTTGAAAATCCAAAGAAATCTTTTTCTTTATGCTGAGGCGAAGTGCAGAAGATTTCCAAACTGGTTTAAGGTTGATGAAGGCATGGGTATCTTGCTTTTCCGATTCTAGCTAGCTTTGACATCTTCATCCGTTCCAAATTCCGGTAGTCGAAACGATGCTACCTAGCCAGATAAGTGAAGGAAACAACCTCTGTCAAATCTCTGCCATTGATGTTAATTGGTGCAGGTTGCTGTTACTGTTGCTATTGGTTGGTTATCGTCAACACACCTATACAGAGTTTTTTGTTATCAATCACCTAACACATAACATCGTCATACAGCCAGCTGTTGAAGGAGGTTGATAAGGACTTGGGTACTTCACGCCGGAGTGTTGAAGCGATTCCGAAATTACCTTCCGGTATGGTTAACGCTCTCGAAGAAAAGGCTTTTCCGAAGTCTAGGAAGATAACGTAGAGGTATGACTGCCATTCTATGCTTTGTTTTGTGATGATGATCATGATGATGATAATGCATGGAGCTGCAATTTGATCAGCACATGATTTGCCTTTCCCGAATCCAGCTTGTTCCCGGCTGGTGGAGTTCTGCAGTAAGTGTAACCTTTTATTCCTCTCCAGAATAACGTGACATAGTATTTTATTTTGCGTGGACAATCGCATTATTTCACGCCAGTTCTTGCAGAGTTAGGCGTCAGTCATCCTTCTTTGGTAGCTTGACAAAGTAACCAGCCTTTCTTCCAAGCAGTATGCACCTCCCCTTCCTTCCAAACCTGGAATAGTTATGGCGTGAGCACAACTTGGATTACTGTAATATTTACTGAGGATATTTTGAGAACAGTTTAACTTGATATGCTTATAGCAATAAACTGTGCTCGAGACGCCATCAGCAAATATTATTTATTATTATTGTTTCCTTTAATTCCTAGAGGAACAAAGGGCTTCAGCTGAACGTCTACATTGCTTTCGGTTCTCTGCCAACGTCTTCACCTGGCTCCAACTCTGCCTACACGTTTTCATCTCCTCTTCACATGACCTCCTCCAAGTCACCGTCACACTGACGACCAACTCGCCGCTTCCCGTTCGGGTTCCACTCTAGTGATATGCTGGCATGCGATGTCACTTGATGGTTTACTCAGAGTATGACCAATCCAATCCACCTCCATTTCTGTTTGCATATTTGTTGAGCAATTGCTTCCTGTTGGGTTGGTTCGATCCCCAAGATCCCACCTTTTTGCTGATCTTTTCTCGCTGGCCATCTGATCTTGAGTAGTATTGAGCGAAGACATCTGTTGATGAAAGTCTGTAGTTTGTTCGAAGTGCCCTCCGTGACACGGCGCCAAGTCACTGATCCGTATAGTAGCACTGTTTTCACATATGTGACTGTATGATATTGTGAGACTAGCCTGCGCTTTTATTGCACTTTTGCCCAGAAACACTGGTAACGTTTCAATTAAAATATTAAAATTAATGCAGCACCTAATTGAACTGAGAATAAAGGTGTCACAATGGAATTTACATGAAAGTTAGTTACTGTTATTCGGCCTACTGATGCTGAGATCATGGCTGAAAACGTAAATTGACATTCAAGATTTCTGTCAGAAAGTGGTCAATTTTTTCCAGTCTACTTATAATGACAGAATAATAAAAGTGACTCAACTGTAAGCAAAACACATAGTAAGTGGATTGTTTCTCATACAGAGAGATTCCTTGCTAATATGAAGTCAAATTGATCAACTTACCATTTGATTTAAATCCTCTTGTAAGTGTTGTCCAGTCGGCGATCTATATTGAAGGAATACAAGAATGGCTTTAAGTAACGGAAATAAAGAAATGGTTTTAACCGAAAATGAGATTCACATCTGTAAAATAACTTTTTTGCAATAAAAAACACCGTCACTGCAGTAAACAGAATGATTTCAAATTCACAAGTCGGAAACTAATTGGATCCTTGAGAAAGGACACTGGGAGTATTGTGAATCGCCAATCAATATGCAAAATTGCTAATTTGATTTAATTTGTGTGGGTTTGAAGTGATCTGGCTCTCTGAGCTGAATTTAATGAATTCATCAAATTTCGGTAGAACTCGTCAGCTGAATTCTCTACATACATGGACATATATATATACTGTTTAAATTACATTGGGAGATATAAGACTGATAAGCGAGAAAATAAACTACATTGAATTAGTCATGAAGAAAAACAGGTGTGAGAGTATGAGAGAGAGTATGAGATCAAAATTAAGATAAATTGCATTACGCTACAACTACATCATTGAGATAAACAATTAGTCATTAGAGAATATTACAAGAATTGCAAACAGAGTAATATCAATAGTAATAGTTATAATAATAATAACAATGATAATAATAGTGTTGAAGTGAGTTAAGATAATGCTACTGATAAAGGATAGTTTTAAATGAATCAAGAATAATAATAGCAATAAGAGGTAGAATAATAATTAAAACGTATTACCATGGTAGATTCAGAGCGACGACCATCTTCTTTTGTACACAGAGACCTGATTTATAAACTCGAATTGCACAAGCCTCTGGAATTGCAAGCATCCTCCTGTTTCTTTGTCTGCTGACAATAACAGTGAATGACTTGAAAGCGTCGATATCATGTCCGTAATCCACAAGATGTTTTATTATTGCGGATTTTGACACTTTGCACTCAGCTGTTTTCAACCATTTTGGCAAATGCTCCATCATGTGAGTAGACAATAATCGCTTTTCTGTACGACCTATGTATTTACTACGACAAACACACTCAAATTGACATACACAGTTTGAATTTTTCAACTGTTTTCAATTCTCTGAACTGAATTGCACTGGAAACGCACTGGCGATAAGTTTCGTCCCAAAAAACCAAAAATAGCCATCCAGTATTTAGTTCTGGCTTTAATCTTTCTGGCAAGCACTACCGGCTGACTCTACTTCTATTATACTACTCAAATCTCTCAAAACGTAGTATATATGAAGTTAACTGCAATTATAACTTGATGGAATACTCTGAGCTTCAGTCTCTAATTAACTGCTCGTATGGTTTAAAACTGTTTTTTGGCTCCATTAAATAATGGGCCGACCTTAGAGGTTATCAGAACACTTTATAACTGTGTTAATTCATTGACTAATGTAGAAATCGCGAGCATCCTAATTTTGTGTTCATTAGTTTATCCGAATCAACAGTAATCCACAATGGGATATGCGAGACTGTATGTGGATCAGTTACTTGTCATTTCGCTATTCTTGACATTTTCCACAATAAGTCAGGTAAATATTCACAAAGTTGTCCCGGTATCAAATAATTATTATTGGTTAAACGATTTCGAGCTGTTTTTGATGTGGTTGTGTTCTGTCAGCTGGATAGTTAATTTGCGAAACTTTCATCGCCTTAATAAACACCTCTCCCGGTGACCTTGAACGTGATTGGTTGTTTTTGTGTGTTTTCACACCCTCTAGGCTACTTGTATTGGAAATGGTTGTTTCCTTGAATTGAACTTTGACTCTTTGTGTGTGAGGTTTCCTTCTTATCGATTGGTAAATTTGTCTATCTCGATGTGTCTATTGATTGATGATTCACTGGAATACCAGGCAGACTTCTAAATATTCTCTAGCATTCTTGTTGTTTCCACTGTCTAATATTTGAACTCTGGTTGTCCCAGTCGAATTGATGTCCGTGGTTGTCTGTATGTAATGAGGCGATATGAAGGAGTAGATGTCATGTCTTCTGACGGCTAGCTTATGATCATGGATGCGAAGACGAAGAGGACGTCCACATGGGCCAATGTGGTGTTTTTCGCAGTTGTCACAATTTATTTTGTAGATGATGTTGGTTTCATCTTCTTTTGTTGTTGAGTCTTCTGGTTGACATAGAGCCAGCCAAGGGAAGTGATTTTGTTGGTTTGTGTTCCACGTCAATTCCTAAAGATTTGACGAGTCTTGTAGTGATTTCTGATATATCCTTTATATATGGCAGGGCAACTTTCTTCGTGCTTTCTTTGGGGGCTTTTGGTTTGATAGGAAAGCATGAAGAAAGTTGCCCTGCCATATATAAAGGATATCTCAGAAATCACTACAAGACTCGTCAAACCTTTAGGAATTGACGTCACACACAAACCAACAATGCGCTGAGGTTGTTGCCTAGTAGGGCAATGAAAGCTTCGCAAATTAACTATCCAGCTCAGAGAACACAACCACATCAAAATCATCCACCTGAGCTACAAATCTTCTCCATCATATCTAGATTTCAAGCTGTATTTGTGAATTATGCAATACACTATATGCGGATAACTCTTTCTGTACAAAGTATATAAATCCAGACGACACATCAATGTGGTCAGTATTTGTCAAATAATTGCTTCAATGAAATATTTATTATTCGATGGGATTATGCACGTCAGTGACACAGCGGTAGAATGCTCGCCGGCCACACCTAGTGTGGTTCGGAGTTCGATCCCCGGCCACCAACGCACTCTTTCATCTCTCCAAGCCAGTAATAAGACTGGTAAAGAGGAAAAGTTGCGCATCCCGTAAAAATAAACGCCACTGTTACCGAAACTTGAAGTCTTTAGCTTGAAGCCCTAAGCTCCAGCACTGGAAACTTATTGGAATAAAAAAAGTCAGATCTCCGTGAAGAGGTTTGGTCAGGATATCAGGCGAACCGCCTGTGCCTGTTTATTACGAATAAAGGGATAATTATGCTAAAGTAATCAAATTATTAATATCACTGGATATCACGGATATTTTTATCTCATGTCTCAAACATTTTTTTGTTCATTCATATGCATTTGCATGCATGAAACTTTTTGATGTGCTAATTTCTAGAGTAAACATCATATTGCTCCTCGGTTTATATTTATTCATCTTTTTGCTTTAACTATTTGTTATGTAAATATTTAACAGGTGTACTTCCTAAACCCAAACTACTGTGTAAATCACTATCGGCGAGAGGTGATTTGGCAACTACTTCGCTACTACTAAGGGGTGCCACCGTCAATTATACATCTCATCCAACAGTTGTATGACAGTGCTGCATGCCAAGTAATCCACAACGGGAAACTTACGGAATCCTTCGAAGTGAAGACGGGAGTAAGGCAAGGCTGCCTACTATCGACAACCATTTTCCTGATTGAAGTAGATTGGATAATGCGACAAACAGCGGAGAATGAGGAAACAGGCATAAAATGGACCCACACGAAAAACTTGGAGGATCTGGACTTCGCCAATGATATTTGTCTGATTTTCCACAAACTGGAGGATATGCAAGTGAAAAGCAACAAGTTGGCAGAAGAAGCATCCAGAGAAGATAGGAGAGACTTCAGGTGAACATAGAGAAAACAGAGGTGATGAAGATTCCTGGCCAACACCACCACACGCAGCAACAACAACAGACAACGATAAGCATTAATGGGAGGAACCTGAAAGAAACAACCTCCTTCACCTACCTGGGAAGCATCGTTTCAACTACAGGCACAAGGAACTGACGAGGATATCAAAGCAAGAATCGGAAAAGCAAGACAAGCTTTCACTACTCTCAAGTCTGTGTGGAGGTCAACAGCACTGCTCAGCATCAAAAATAACATCCGGATTTTCAACTCCAATGTGAAGTCAGTGCTACTCACTATACGGATCAGAGACTTGCACTGTGCGTCATAAAGAGCATCTCAAACAAACTACACAGCTTCATTAACAGTTGTTTTCGCTCATTACTCAAGACCAGATGGCCAGAAAAGATCAGCAACAGGTAGGGATCTCTGGGAGCGAACCAACCAGGAACCGATTGTGAAACAAATAAGCAGGAAGAAATGGAGATGGATTGACTGGTCATACTCTGAGGAAACCATCAAGTGACATCACTAGACAAGACATCGCTCGAGTGGAACCCGAAAGGGAAGCGGCGAGTTGGTCGTCAGTGAGAGGGTGACTTGGAGGAGGTGATGTGAAGAGGAGATGAAAGCGTGTGGGCAGACCTGGAGCCAGGTGAAAACTCTAGCAGAGAACACATAACGTTCGGCTGAAGCCCTATGTTCCTCTAGGAATTAAAGGAAACAATAATAATAATAATCACTGTCGGCTGATGGTAACAATGGGATATAGTTTAAGGGTCACTAGATATCTGCCACAAATTATTATCATTGTAATGGTGCCTCTCGAAGATATCTCATAGATATATATATATAGACATAGAGTAGCATGGAATATTCTGTCTGTTTTTTAAAAAAAGACGCCATTTCTTTATAGGCAGCTGATTGCCGCAGTAACACTTACCCTATAAACTCTGGAGCATATGTGGATAGAAGTAAATGCTCACTAGGTGGTGACTGCTTCCCAGCATTAAAGGATTTATGCTTGCTTGCAATTTGAGTGCCAACATTTTGTGTTCTACTCTGCGCATATGCTGCTGTTTTTCTTGGTAAACTCCCTTTCAGTTAGCAGAAAAAGAAAGAGAAAAATATACACAAAATGTCTACAGAACACAGACAAAAAAAAGGAGAATAAAGTGAACTAGAAATTGGAAGATTTATGCATCGGTAGTTTTAAAGTCCAATAAATTTCAGCTGCCAATCTGTTTGTTCCATAAATTTTATTCGGAATACTGGATTCTCAACAAGAAATAGACCTTAGAGAATTCATTAATATAAATATATTACATTATGTCTAGGCTATAAGCTGTTTTAAAAAAATGCATTCTGCGTGATAATTTATGAAGAATTTGACAATAGAATAATTCAAACCCCATTATATAAACCAACTACCAATGATTTCCCTCCATATTCTCAGTGGTATGAAAGACCAGTGCCTAGCCTTGAAAGTTACGGAAATAAAGATTAGCGTCAACTATATACCAAGACAGTTGTACAACACAGCGAAAATATTCATTCAGACATCTATAAAAAGACAAAATAATTGAGCAAAGAATATCCCTTTAGATAAATTCCTCTTCTGGCTCTGAAATTAAATATTTATACATATGTTTACATACACAGAATATTCTAGAATAGCCGTCATTAATAAGGTGCCTCTTCAGTAGAATCCAACGAATATGCACTGAAGACACACTTGATGAAGAAGAAAGAAAGTCGACACAAACTCTGGTTGATAACAAATATCTAGACAAGTTCATCAGGAGATATAAAGTAGTCAGAACACCATGACCCACTCTCCAACTTGCCCCTAAGAAAGACGTGTACATCAAGCTACCCTATATGGGTGAGGCATTATAGCAGCTTGATAACTAGACAAAGACTGAACACTGCTGTCAAAAACACTGTTTATGCAGCCAATATCATAATAATAGAGAATGTAAAGCCAATACCTCTATTTAAGCCCTTCGAACATGCGAAAAATGACGTCATATCCCACTGTATTTACTAATTTGAATGAACGTGTGGACACAAATACATAGGGAGGACTCATCGATGTCTGCAAGTAAGAGCTAGCTTCAGAGCGTATTCCTAAATGGCTCCAGAAACAAATGGAATCTTCAGAACCTATTAACGGTGAGAACAGCAGAACTAACTCTTCTACTGCGAAACATTTTATAGAGACAGGACATAAAATTGATGTTAACACATCTTTTAAACCTATCTATAAAACGTGTTTGGGGTGTATCCTAAAGTTTGTGGAAGCCCTAGCAATTAGAAACTTTAAGCCACCTTTATGCGTACAAAAACAATTCGTCATCACATTAAACCTTCCTTGGTAAATTTTGTTTTGATACCATAGCGGATGTACTATTACCTCTGTTATTTGTTTTAGTGATCTTCATTGTTACTTTGACCTTGAATATGTCCTTTCAACTTGACCTAAGTAGTCTATTTTCTCACCTCTTACCCCTTTATTAATTTCATATACATTCATATGACAGGTCCGTGTGTGATCAGATTGTTCGAAATGTGTTGCGCAAATATATTACATGATTCAGACAAATTACGTCTTCTTAATGCTTTATCTAAATTCATAAAGGGAACTAACTGTTTTAAATAATATTAGTGTATTTTAAATAATATCCATTTGTAAAGTAAGATGAGTGGAATTACCACAGTTCATTAAGGATGTTTAAATCATAATAATAATAAAAATATAGTAGCAAATAGAATATCAACTAAAATTAGGAAAATTCCACAAAATTTGAGGATCATTCAAACCTAGATGGCCAAGGTAAGGAGAATGTCTGAACCAACCAACTTCTATTAGATGCACAAATTAGGCTTCTTAATATGGATCCTGACAGTCAGCCTCAGCAATATTTAGTAGTCGTGTGGTGAGAGCTGTCGACTAGCCAATTGGCTGACAGTAATTGAGGTCAATATCAGTCATGTGAAAACAAGGTCAAGATGGACGGGCGGATACAGTTAACATATAGATGAACTGACACAGCCACAAGAGATGCAAGGTTAACTTTGTGTGAGAAACAACCAATCAACAGACTGTATTTTCTACTAACATTAACTTACAATAATGTACATCAAAATCTATAAATATGTGTTGATTTTCTGTAATAAACGTTCTGTTGCCTGGCCCTTGTCTTATGTTGTTACAGTCGAACTCTTAAGGTGAAATTAAGATTTGTTGGTATGCGTTAAATGACTTTGAAAGCCGCCTTGTTAACATCAATTGTGTGTTGTGTATCCACAAGATGAGACAGAATAGCGCTGCGAATAGATTTTGTTTGTCCTTTGCTTAACCAGACAGGGTGATGTTCGGAAATTCGACGATAAACACGCCTAATTGTACGGCCTATGTAACTGGCTCACTCCACAAGAGCAGTTAAATTGGTAGATACACATGGAAGAGGCAAAATTAGGTTGTTGGGATCCATATTAAGAAGCCGAATTTGTGCGTGCAAAAGAAGTTGGTTGGTTCAGACATTATCCTTACCCGCTTGGCCATCTAGGTTTGAATGATCCTCAGTTTTTGTGGAATATTCCTAATTTTAGTTGATATTCTAGTTGCTACTATATTATTATTATTATTATTATTATTATTACTATTATTATAGTTTAAACATCTTTAATAAACTGTAATTCCATTGTGATCTTACTTTACAAACCGATATTATTTAAAAACACTTATATTGTTGTTGACTACTATTCTAGAATATTCTGTGTATATAAACATGCATATATAATTGTAGAGCTAGAAGAGGAGGAATTTATCGAAAAGGATATTCTTTGCTGAATTTTTTTTTGTTTTATAGTTGTACAATTCTTTTTAGTTATGTGGTAAGCATATAAATCACAATATCATAGTATCTAACTAGACAAAAAGCAATCACTTTCACGTCCCGTGTTTTTACACGAAGTTTTGTTGACTTGCTCTCATGGACAATGAGTAATTATTTCAAAAACTCTATTAAGTAAGTTTTTGGGATGGATTTCATTATATGACTAGACATTTCACTCCAAAGAAGGTTATTCTTAGATACGGAATTCAAAAAATGTGATAACAACTTTTATTTGCATATTAGTTTGTTTATTAGATGTATCAAACAGTGAAACAGTAATTACTATTTACTGGATTACACTGTTTTGTTAGAAAGAAGAGTACGTGAAGTTTAGCAAAGATTTCTTTTCGGCGAACACAGTTTGTTATTCATAATCATATCAGTTATAATCACACAAATTCCAAAATGGACTTTTTTCTTAGTTTTTTTGTTCTTTCCTATTTCTCGTAGGGAACAGGTGTTGAATCATTCCTACTACACGTGTTTGCAGTTGATTCGATAAACAAAGCTTCCGTTATCAATCTCTCCCTACACCCTGTGACATTAGATTTTAAAATTGTCATCCTATCCCATCCTATTGTGTGGTTGTGTGTAATTGCATACAGTGAGTGCTATAGCTGAAATATTCTCCGGATTTCTTATCTTATTAGGGTCAACCAATCTAGATTTTGCTAGGATTTTATGTTCGGCTAGTCTGACTGCCCCTGTCCTACTAGTTTGACCCATATATTTGATCTGGCAATCATTACAGTGTATTAGATAAACTAAATTGTTTTGTTTAAAAGGCGCCACAGGATTGATCCTTTAACCGACAAGGCTTGTTTCTAATTGCGTTTGTGGGTTTGAATGACACTTTTATTCCTGCCTTGTCAAGACTTCTGCGTAAGGTTTCCGAGGTTCCTTCCTTGCATGGAATTACTACTGATGATTTAGATTCCTTATTGTTGGTGTTGTCATTATTCTGTGCATGTTTGACATGCATGTCGTCATTAATATTACTATTATTATCATTATTGTTATCACTATCACTACTGTCATTTTATATTTTATTTTTATTTTTACATTTCCCTACATACTTTCTGACTAATTTATCACGGTAATTATTAAGTTTCAAGGCTTCTCTTATATGCCTCACTTCCTGTCTTAGATTTTCCTTGGTACTACTTAGTTTTTGTGCTCTATTACTTAGACATTTCACCAATCTTATTTTCACTGACATAAGATGGGATGATCGGAAGTTCTAATATCTGTTTGAATGTGTGGTTTCCCTGTAAACAGTAGTGTTTAACTTCCCATCTTCTTTCATTTTTACATGCTACAATCTAACATTGGTAGTTCCCCTTCCTGACTTTGCAATTCAAAAGTGGTTTGAATTGCCTCCACCTTTGAGTTAATGTGTTCAAAAAATCTATCTGTATCCTGTATTCTAATACGGAATTACATATTAACATTGAGCCCAAATTTTACACATACATGAAGCAACTTTTATTCTTTTCTTGATTTACGTTAACTTATGACCAGCGTTGTCACAGCTTCAACGGCGAACACTTTTGTGTCGGCGTAAATTTACCTCAGGGGAATATATATTCAAGGGGAACTCAATGTCGTAAATAATATTTCCATCAATTTGCGAAATTTTTTACATATCAGTTGCATAAAACTCAATAACTAATTAAGACACTGTTTTTGGACGATGAAAATGTAGTCATATTTACTCAGTGTGTTAAATGACTATTCTTTTCGACCGGTCTTATTTTTAAAACTCAGAAAAAGCTAGTATTTGCTATTGTCGCGAGATCAAAAAGTGACTCATCAAATGTATGCTGTAGGATTTGCTCAAAACGCTAATCTAGATAAATACGCATATTTTATCAGTCACGTTTTTCAACTTAAGCATAATAGAGTGTACTTATTTGTGTCTCTAAAAAAAAGAATTTCTAATGCCAGTTGTTCTGTTTGCCTAACACTAAATTTACACTCCAACTAGGCGGGAGAAATCGCTAATTGAATTAAGGCAGGAGTTTTTTAAAAGTTCGCTAGATCCAACAACAAAAATTAAAGTGTGTTGGGGTAAGAAAAACAAAAAGGCGTATAAGCCAGCAACTACTCCTTTTGCCTTTTCATCACTTAACACAATTATATATGAAAAGGTGACTATAGTTCACATGGAAAACTAATTACTTGAAAATGAGAGT